TGTGACTCACTCCCCTTGACAGCACTAGTTACTGGTAGTTAATTACAAATGCACCCAGTGCTGTCACATGGGAGTGGGGGGTGAGTTCCCAGCCCTGGGTAGGATCCAGCTAGTAATGACTTGAATGGAAGGTTGAATGTTCTGCGCTATGAAACAAACCCAAAGGGGGAGATTTCCCAGAGAGTAAGAGTTACACGGTTTATTGAAGATTTATTTACTTATTTATTCACATTATTTATATTTAAGCAATTTTTATTAGTCAATGTACATTGTTGATTTTTGTTTCGTTTATTCACATATCACTTCAGCAATTTTTATTTCACATAATAAGATGTTCACTTAGCGATATTTATATATTTATAATTCTTATACCACTTATTTAATAAGTCATTGTTGGATTCTCACTTCACTCCAGGAGACCCATAGCGCTCACTATTCTAAAACCAGTAATGACTTGAAGCTTACACTTGGCTCATTCTCCTCACTTGTGATGGTAGGCGGAGCAGCGGGAGAACTGCGCTGGTGTGAACACAGGTCAGAAGTAGCATAGGGATACATTAGGATGCATTTTGGTCTAGAAACAATCTGGTCTGGTCTGGTCTGGAGATGATCTGGATGTGGTGTTACTGGGCTCTTATAGCTGCTCCAGTTTCTGCTGCTCCTCTGGCTGCTTAGTTTCCACATAATGGTAGAAGAAAGCGTCAGGCCGCCAAGTGATATTTGCAGGAGGAGCCTGATATGTTTAATGCATTCACACCTGAACGTTCCGTGAACAACAATTTGGCACACGTTGACAGAATTTTTCATTTCTAATGTCACCCCAAACGGGGAAGAAGGAAGACCCGTGTTTCTGCTTTGCGTTTGCATGCATTAAAATGTGCACAAGCAAAACGAATGGCAAATGCACTCATCAATTCATAACCACCTTTTAAGGCAAGGTGCACATGGGAGGGCTTTACACAGTACAACAGCAGAAAAATTCACAAGCACACTCACCTGCCAGCCTGCAAATTACTAAGGTTAAATACACAGGTCTAAGTTGCACATCTTCTGCAGAATATGTGGAAGACACACTGCCTCATCAAGGCCCCTCTGTGTAGTGTGGTCCTAACTCTAATCTATGAGAGCCTCCATCTTGGAGCATATAGCAAAGGATGAATTGGGTGCAGGTTTAGCACCAAACCAAACACCCTACACCAAATAAAACAAGCAAAACGAATGGCAAACACACATCAATTCATAACCAGCAACTAATACCTCTGTTTGTAACCTTAGTAGTTAGGCAGTAGTTTTTCTTTGCAGGCTGACTGGTGAGTGTGCTGGGAATTTGCTGCTGTTATACTGTTTAAAATGTGTACAACCTCGCAAGCCAAAAGCTCAGAATGCATGTTGCAAAATTTGCTACATGAAACTTTTTTTGCCGCGTTTGTTGTATGTTCAGGTATTGAACTCAGAGGGGACGTGTGTCAAACACAGCACACGAACGCGCACCAACACACATGAATGCGCGCTCCCAGAATGCACAGGTGTGAATGCGGGCTTAGTCATTTCAGTCATGCCATTTGTCAACTTCCTCTATGGTGGCTTTTCCTACTGTTACATATTTCTGAATATAAAGTCAGAGAGTCCTGAGAAACATATACAATATACTGAAACATCATTTTTGGGAGGGCTGATTCTTTGAGGGCCATCTGAGATTCTCCCTCCCTCCAGTCTGTATGGGACCGATTGACTGTGAGCACCTATGATGGCAGAATCTAATATTAGAGGTTCAGAGTTCTTTGTAAATAGCTGTGTAACTTGCCAGTGCTATGTAATAAAAGATAAAGAAAATGATGGAAACCATTTGTTTTATTGTAGCGTACTGAAACCCTCCTGAAGGAGTACAAGCAGAGGGGGAAGTCCAGCATGTTTACGGACAAGCGGTTCGGTGAATATGACGCCAAACTCGATCCGGAGGAGAAGATGATGAAGAGATTTGCAATGGCACGACAGGTAAGGGCAGACAGTAGAGGAATGCTGCTTAGGGGTAGGTTTAAGGAGGGTTGATTAGTAGAGTAGGGAACTCGGAAGAAGTCACAAGAGCATCTCCATGTCCAGGGGACTTCTAGAGCCCCTTAGGAAGCACTGTATGGGCCTCCTGTTGATGGGCAAGTTCTTTCAGATGCAATCCATCTACATTTGACATCAGTTTGAAAAGCTTCTGAGATCATTCACAGTTCATTGATAGGGGCAATTGATTTCAATTATCCCATTATAAAGGGTTATTTGCATCATGGGCATTTTAAAGAGAGGCTAGTTTTAGTATACAGTCAGCGCAGAGATAAAACTAACCCGTACTGGTCATGTATACCGTACACACTTTGTTCTTTTAAAGCATTTTTTCACTTTGGCTCTTAAATTGGAATAATATCTATTTTATATTTGTTACATGTTCTTATTCACATAGCATAACAAAGGGTCAAATAAAGGGTTAAAGATCTAGAAGCGTTGTATGTTAATGAGAGGAAGCTCAGTCTGTCCCTAGTAATTCTATGGGGGCAACCAGAGTTTCCTGCTACTTTGAAATTGTACTTTTACTATAAAGTCCTGCTATACAGAGAAATCTGAAGGGTAAGAAATATATTTTTATCACTTTTCAGTATACCGTGTGAATGAGAACGCACAAATAATGTATAGAGGGGTTTTCTTAGACGGCAGTAGTGGAAATACACTTTAAAGGAGAACTCTTCAAAGAAGTCTGTTTTCATCATGTTCATCTAATGTTGCCGTGGTCAGTTTGGGAAAGACGACCGCTTTTTGTCTGGGAAAACACTTGGGGTCCCAGTTATAAGGCAGCTGTATAGCCTTATTGTGTCCATACTTCTGCTTTATAATGAACAATCGCTGCTCATTTATAAAGCACAGGGCTGTGCTTCGAGACTATAAAGCAAGGGGAGCCCCATTCATTGCAGTCAGTGGGAAAAAAAAGCTGGGAGCACTCCACACGTGACCTGTGTTTTATGAATGGCTCATGCAGGCACCTGGTGGAGTAAACACTGCAGTATCTGTTCTCTGCTATATATATAGGCCACTTAAATGTTTGTGGCACACCTATGAATCAGGGAGGAGGCCATTGCTAACTACTTTGATTTTACTGGTCAGCATAACAGGCAGGCATACAGCATTTTGTGTTTGGGTCATCAGGCGCACTATTTCTCTCATTACAAGTTTATGCCAAGCATAGGGTTGATGTTTTATCTATCACCCTTCCTCATTTTCATATCTATTCATTGTTGTGGATGATTTAACATATTTCATTTTTGTAGAGAAATGCTGACAAGAAGACAGTATACAACCTGAATGAAGAGGAGGAATTGACTCACTTTGGACAGTCTCTGGCTGTGATGGAAAAGCTGAATGACCCTGTGGATAGTGACAGTGATACAGATGAACGGGGGGCATTATCAGGTGAGCAGTGACCTTGAAAGATCGATGATTGCTGGATAGGAACTCAAATGGGTTTTGCCACTTCTGTGTTCCTTATCTTTCCAGCCGTAGTTGTGTAGGCTGGTCTTATTGTCCTGAGTAACATACAAAGACATTCCAACTCTCCCGGACGTTCCACGAGTCTCCCGCTATTAGATAGCGGCTCCCGGACACCCAGGAGAGAAACATTTTTTCCCGGAAAGGTTTACTCTGCTCTAACTAGCAGAGTAAACCTTTCCCTGCTGTCTGGGTTTAAAAAAAATTATTATTATGATGATATCAGAGCCGCCGACTGCCGTCAGAGTAAAAAAAAAAGACAGCATAGGAATGAATAGCTAGGCTTCTATTGGCTATTTGAATTTGCAATAGCAGACTAGCTATTGTATCTGCCCACTGCTGCTGTCAATCAGCAGAGGTGGACCTGAGGTTCTCCATCAGGTCCTCTTCTGCTGATTGACAGCAGCAGTGGGCAGATACAATAGCTAGTCTGCTATTGCAAATTCAAATAGCCAATAGAAGCCTAGCTATTCATTCCTATGCTGTTTTTTTGTTTTTTATTCTGACGGCAGCAGCTGTCAGAATACTAAAAAAAAACAACCCAGCAGATAGCACAGTAAGCATTATCTTCTTTGCTATCTGCCATCATTTTAGGGGGGGGAGAATAGAGCAGGAGAGATAGGGGTGGGGGGGAGTGTGTGGCAGTGGGGTAGTTCCTCCAGTCAAAGATCTCCTATCAGATTGTCGTCAGACTTGTGTGAGGGATGGCCGGTGTGCATGCCCTAGCCAGGGATCCCAGACTTTCCAGAATTATTTTGGGTATCCATCAGGACACTGGACAGCTTTTAATTAATGAAAAATGAGTCTAGTCTACGGCTAACCCATCTAAAGGGATTTGTTGTTTTCTCCATGCCTGCGCTATGGTTTGTTTTGCAGCCATGAATGTGAAGACCACCAATTTATGTTGTGACTGTGATATTCGGGGGTTTAAGATGTAACAGGGCGAATCGTGGGTCTCTGCGGATATTCGTTTAGAGGATTGTGTTTATTAGTCTGAATGTTTTAATCCAAAATCTATGTACTAATGGGCATGTCCACCAGACGTGCATCACGTCACCCTTCGCCTCGCAGCCTCTGAAACATTTAGCCGACTGCTGAGGATGAGAATGTGTCAATCAAGCCGGCACCATGTACCACCTCATCATAGATTTGTATGCTGACTCTAGTGAGGTGATGGTGCATGATGCCGCCGAGGCCCAGATTTGTTGCCAATCTAAGTCGGATATGGTCCCGTTTAAATCTTTTTCCCAAGCCAGGACATATTTATGGGCAGATTTGTTAGGAGCTGAATTAAGTTGAGCGTACAATATGGATATCAATTTCGGTTGTAAAGGTGTATGCATATATGTTCCATTAGAGAGAGCCGAGTGGTGGGCACCCTGCCAGCGAGTAGAGACACCGACCAGTGTCTGATTTGCAGGTATCTGAAGAATTCTGAGGGGGGCGCAATGCGAATCTGCCTTTATGGAATCCCAACTGCGCATCTGTCAGTCGCGCAATAAATTGTATAGGTATAGAATATTTTGAGACGTCCACCAGGTGAACGCTCCAGGCGACTCCATCCCCGGGGTAAAGAGTGGATTGCCAATTATCGGTAATAGTGGAAGATGGGGGGAAATTAATTTACCCTGGTGTTTGATGTGATCCCACACACGGAGGGTATGGATCATTACAGGAGTAAGAGTTTTTGGCCGTGCAATCGGTGGGAGCCATGGGAGAGCTCTGACTTAAGTCGGGGCGCAATACACACTCTCTAGATCCACCCGTGTTGGCCCTAGTGGAGATATGTATAAATTAGTTATGGGGGCTATCTGAGCTGCCTGGAAATATTTGTGAAAGTTTGGGAGGCCTAGGCCTCCTTGTTACTTATGGGCACACATAGTGTATTTCGAGATTCTGGGTCTTTTTTTCTGAAAAGCGTGTATGGCTTTTCCCAGAATCGCCACCGGCAAAGTCCTGAATAGGTACAGTATTTTTGGCAGAATAGTCATCTTGACATCATTGAGTCGTCCTATCCAGGATAGGGTGTGCCGGGCCCAGGTAGTCATTAGCTCTGTTTAGTTTTTTGAAGAGGGGGGTGTAATTAGTTTTGTAAAGGGAGCAATAGTCTGTGGTCAGCAGTATCCCCAGGTATTCCAGGTGAGATGAACGCCAGGTGAACGTGATGTTCCTCGCACGGCATCTACCATGTCCTGTGTCAGGGATATGTTGAAGGCTAGTGATTTTTCTTTATTAATGGAGAGGTTGGGAACTTGTGCGAAGGAGTCTAGTACCGAAATTAAGTTTGGGATGGAGATTTGGGGCTGAGAGATTGTGAGAAGAAAATCATCCTCAAATAAGTTCAGTTTATGTTCTGAGTTTCCGATGGTCACGCCGTGTATTTTTGGGTTGTGTCGGAGTAGGTGTGCCAGGGGTTCTATTGCTAGGACGAATAGGATTGGGAACAAGGGGGCATCCCTGTCTTGTGCCCCGGCAGATGGTAAATGGTGGGGAGGAGCATTGGAGATATCTTACTGTAGCGGAGGTGTTATTGTGGGAATCCAGCCATCGTAGAAAGGTTGGAGGGAATCCCCATTTTCCCAGAATGTAATATAAATAGTCCCAGGTGACGTTATCAAAGGCCTTTTGGATGTCCAGAGACAACAACATGCCTGGAGTTTAGTTTGCCGCATGGCGTGTATTAGCTGAATTACTTTTCTCGTGTTATCTGTGGCCTGGCGGTGGGGCACAAAGCCGACTTTGTCTCTGTGAATGAATGTTTCTAGAAAACAGTTTATCCTATTGGCCAGGATTTTGGAGAGTAATTTTGTGTCTATAGTTAAGAGATATGGGCCTGTAATTATGTGGGTCTGTGTCGTCCTGTCCCGGCTTTGGAAGCATCACCACCTGAGCTGCCAGGGAGGAGGAGTGTAGCTTCCGGCCCCCAGACAGATGGTTGAATAGTGCCAAGTGTGGAGCTAAGATGTCAGATAATTTTTTGTAATATAAGGCCGTAAATCCGTCTGGCCCCGGGGATTTAGCAGGTTTAAGTGTTTTGATGGCCGCCAAGACTTCTGACTCAAGTTATTTCAGCCTCCATCTTTTCCACCATAGAGCTGGACAGGGTAGTCGGGGGGGGAAGTCCGCGAACGGGGAATTTGCCATATGGGTATCGAATTGGGAGGGAGGGCTATATAGTTTGCGCAGGATATGAGCGAATTTGGATATAATGTGAGCTGGGTTCGCCGTCAGGACCCATTAGAGAGCCGAAGCTTGATGGGTTTAACCCCCCTGGGCTGTGCATTCAATACATTTGCTAACATGGAGCCTGGCTTGTTTGAGCGTGCATAAAAGGAACTGTTTTCCCACCTGATTTGTTGCTCAGCTTTGTCATTAAAAAGAAGATTCAGTTCCACTTTAACCGAGGCCACCTGTCGGCGTAACGTGTTGGAGGGAGCGGTTTTCCAAGCTGACTCGAGACTTTCCGATTCAGTGTAGAGGGACTGGATTTTACTTTCGCGATCCGGCTGGTCATTTTTTTATGTATTTTTTTTTTTTTTTTTTTTTTTTTTTTTTTTTTTTATAATTCTGTTGGACTGACTGCTGTCCAAAGGTGAAGAGACAAATTCATTGAAAGATATTCTTGTAGTTGGGAAAAATCTGTGTGGATGATACATATTCAATGGAGACCACTAGAAATGTGAAAGGTAACAATTTCCTACATAACTTGTATTGATCTTCGCAGCTGAGATAATACAGAAATATTAAACTGGCCATATACTATGCAACTTTCAGCCTGTTCTTCGGGAAAAATCCTTTCCCTGAGATCTCACGAGATTTTGCAGCTTACAGATTAGATTTGCCAGCAATGCTCTTTGTAATCTTTCCAGGATGTATCTCTTAGGCAAGGGTTACGTCACTAATGCCTGAGAGGACCAGGGAGTGGAAAAACAGTCATTGTAAGTAAAAGCAAAATGTGTTTATTTAACTAATGAATGTAAAATGATTTCATATCAGAATGCAGAGCTGAATGTTGTTGGGATTTTTAGTGAAAGGGGGTTAAGGTCCACTTGAAATAATTGGACCTGACGCAAGCATTCAGCAAGTCAAGTTTGAGCAAAGTCGGAACTCCTGAGGTTCTTACTTTTTCATTTGTTTGAGCAGATGTATTTTTTTTTTTTTTTAATCCTAAACATTTTTTTTAGCAGTGTTACAGAGTAGCTGATGTAAGTACATCTTTAGTTTTTTTGTTATATTAACCGAGAATGACTTTCTTATTACAGCTGCGTTGACGGCTTCTCATTTCGGTGGAGGAGGGCTGCTCAGGAAGAAAGCGCCATCTGAACAGAATGAGGAGGAATCAGAAAAACCAAAAACCCGTAAAGAGCTGATTGAGGAGCTGATCGCTAAATCCAAATCTGAGAAGGTGTGTGCAGTTTAAAGCAGAAAGGGGGGGGGGGGGGGGGGTA